CGAGGCCTGGCTGGCCGCCAGGGAGGGCCCGCTGCTGCGGGAGCCCAGCTGCGGGGTGAGTGGAAACCCCGTCCGCATCCCGTCCTCTGCTGGGTATGCGCTGGGGCGGAGGGCACCCCAGGAGCTGGGCCTCACCGACTGCTACTCCCTAGAACTCGGTGTCGGATGTGGAGCAGCTGCTCCACAGACACAGGGACCTGGAGAAGCTGCTGGCAGCCCAGGAGGAGAAGTTTGCCCAGCTGTGGACGCCATTAGAGGTGCGAGCTCAGGCTGGGATGGGCACGGCCAGCCGAGTCCTCCCCACGCCTCCCTAGTGCCCCCCTCAGGACCCCCCTTCTCTATCCTGTGCCCCGCGAGCCCGGGCGCCGCTGCGGACAGGCACGGAGGGGAAGCAGAGAGGGAGAATCTTGTCGTGGTAGGAGAGGCGAGACTGCCAGGACCCGTGGCCCGGCTGCGCGGCTGGGACCCCCAGCCTCTCCTAAGACGGGGCAGGCTGCTGGGAGGGGCTGCTCTGGCAGGCACACAGCTAGCTGAGATGGGGGACCTGCAGCCGGGGGTCCCCACTGGACCCCGGCCCGCTCACTGTTACTAGCACGTGCGCAGCCGGACCCCAGCCCACATAGGGCGTGGAGGCCCAGGACATGGGATGAAGCGGGCAGGGCCTACCTTCCACACGGGGGCTCACCGCTGTTGGCACTGGGCCCAGTACCTCAGCCCCGGTTGCACAGCCATGGGGCAAAGGAGTGGGTGCCAGGCCGCAGCAGCCGCTCCGGTGCAGGGTGCAGAGCCCCGGGCACTGTGGACAAGGGCGACCCCGCCCCTCACCCGGCAGGTGCCAGGCCAGCTGCTGGGGGGGGGGCACCGCGCCGGCCCTCAGATGCGAGGCTGGAGAAGTCAGTCAGCGTGGGGAGGGGCCCAACATGGATTCTGGGGGACTGGAGATGAGACTCAGGGAAATCTGTGACCCGGTCCTCATCTGTCCCTAGGTGGCTTCCACAGAGCCCTTTGACCTCCAGGTCCAGAGTGAGAGCACGGGCTGAGCACACGCCGTCCCCCGGGGAGGAGACATCGGCTCCCCGCAGCGCCCGGCTGAGGGGCTCTGGAGAGGGTCCCGGCAGGGAGGGAGAGCTTGCCTTGTCCTGGGTGCGGGGCAGCGGGGCACGCCGTGCTTTCGCGGGTCCCGGGGGTCGGCTTCAATCCTCCACTATGTCCCGGATGAGGCCGACAGGGCTGGGCCCCGAGTGCTGGCTCACCCTGTCCCCTGGCTGCTCCATGACTTTCCAGAACCTGGACTGCAGGGCAGAATCGCTTACTCTGTTCTCCTGGCAGACCCGGGCTCTGATGAACCGCGTGCTGCAGTGAGGCCCGCAGGCGCAGGCGTGCGTCTGTCTGTCCCTCCCTGGCTGCTTGGGACACAGCTTCAGCGAGGAGTCCCGCCCTCCTCGTGGCCACGTGGTTAGTGTTGCCAGTGCTTTCTTGGTGTTCTACCATGTGACTACATAGCCTCCCGACTGTAGCCTCTCCTTTCTGTCTGTGTCTGGGCAAAGATCTGTGTGCTCCAGGCCCCTTCCCTGGGAGCCCGGGCTGCGTGCGCCTGCAGTAACCGCACACCACACCGTCTGTCTATAAAGAGCTTTGAATTCATGTACACAAAGTGTGCCGTTTTGTCCCCACCTCTACCAGGAGTACATCCTCCCCTGCTCCTCCAGGAAGGTGGCCGGGCCGAGCTCCAGGGTGAGCCGGCTCCCCGGCTCCCATCCCTGGCCGCGGGCAGGGCGGGGCGGGGCGGTGGCCTCATCACCGGGGCCTGCGCTGCCTGCGCCGCTGCACGGCCTGGCGCAGAGCCTCGAGCAGCTGTGGCCGGCTGCAGAGGATGTTGTACCGGGTCAGGCTCAGGAGCTTGTCCGTGTCCTCTGGGCTGTAGGTCACCTTTGTGTAGTGGTAGGGGGAGTCCTCAGGAGACAGGTTCACCTCCCCGGCCGCCTTCTCCTCGGGTGTCCGCGGCACTCCTGTGGAGAAGAGGCGGTGAGGGGGACGGGCGGGGGGCGTGGAGGAGAGGCGGGGGAGCGGGGACGCACCGGGGGCTGAGAACTCTCGGAATGAGGCGTTGACCAGAGGGAAGTGCAGCAGGCTGGGGGCTTCGGGCCGGGCGGGGTCGTGGAAGGCGTGGCACTCGCGCGGCTCGCGCTGCTCCTCCGCCGTGGGCGAGATGTGGGGGAACGGGATCCCCTGCTCCTGGCAGAACCTGTCCACCAGCTGCAGCTGCTGCGGGCCGGCCGGGGGGCGGGGGATGGAGCTCAGGGCGCCCCTGTGGGCCGACTGAACAGCACACAGGCCCCCAAAGGCTGGCGACCTCTCTGGGCCCCCACACCCAAGCCCACGACCTTGCGTCTGCAAAACCCTCTCCCGAGCCCCAGGAGCTCCCAGCAGGGGCTGTGTGGGCCGAGACCTCCCAGGGATTCAGGTGCAGTGGAGGGGGCCGGCACCCCGCCCCGGGGCAGTGCCCGTGCACCCCAGAACCACGTGGTGCCCACTGCCACCGAGTAAAGCAAACTGGACGTGACCAGGCCCCAAGGCCCGGGGCAGCCCGCCCCTCCCAACCTGGAAGGCTCCGTGCAGGTTGTAGTCCAGCGACAGGATGAGGTCCACGCCCCGGGCGGGCTGCAGGAGGGGCGCGCAGCTCGTGTTGATGAGGTAGCCCACGTCCAGCAGGCACAGGTAGGGCTCCGCGGGGGTCAGCTGGTTGGGGAGGCCATCCAGCTTGGTAGCTGCAAAGATTTGGGGCAGGGGTGAGAAGTGGCAACTGTCACCGGGGGCCGCGGGCTTCTCTGGCAGAGACTCGGCCCCTGCCAGCCTCGCGAGCGAGCACCCCACCTCCCGTGCATGCCCCCGCGGCTGCTGTCTCCCCGTCTTTAGGTGGCAGGGTTAACGGTGCCAGGGGAAGCGGCCTGCCAGCGCCCGAGGCACCGTGGGCAGGAGGCTGAGCACCGGGACATGTGCAGAGACGCGGCACCTTTCCAGGCGGAGAAGTGCGGGTGCTGGAAATAGTCCTTGTGAAACTGGAGGCCGCGCAGGAAGTTGTGGGTGGCTTGGGCGAGCGGCCGCTTTGTCAGGAGGTCGGTGAAAAGCCCGGCGATCCTGCCGGCCGCTGTGGGCGGCTCCTCCATCTTTAGCTGGGGGACCTCCTCTTTGTCTGCACAGGCAAAAGCAGGGGTGTGTCAGGAAATGGTGACGCGGGGGGGGGGGGGCAGTGACAGACACCTCCATCTGGCCCAGCCACCTACCCAGGCTGGCTCGGTCCTGAGCCCAGCGGTCCCAGAACTGGCCGGGCTCTGAGGCCCAGTACAGGCTGTCCTGGAGGCTGGCGGCGTACAGGTTGCTCCAGATGCCTGGGAGAGGCCCCCGAGCGGATCAGTCAACTGCTGTGGCAACGTGGCCCTTCCCGACCGGAAACGGTGCCGCAGCCAAGCGAGGCAGGCCCGGGGCCGTCCTTCCCCCTCTCCCTGGCCTTCCCGACTCCCCTCACCTTCCAGAAAGCAGATGCGGGATTCGGGGAGCTCCTTCACCAGCCGCCCCATGAAGAACTCGGAGCCGAAGAGCTGGGAGGGGATGAAGGCCCCGTACTTGGGCAGGCCCACCTCGTAGGGGGAGAACTCGCACCACTCTGTGAAGAGGCCACAGCCTCAGCTCCCGCGCAGCCCCAGGGGCTCAGGCCCCGCAGGACAGACCCGAGTGCCCTCCGCAGCCCCAACAGCCGAGGGACTTTGGCAGAGGGCCACGTGGGGGGGGGCCCAGGGACCAGAGTGGACACATCTCACTCACCCCCAAATTCAAAGGTCGTCAGGCCCTGCGCCTTGGCGTTGAGGGCGCAGTAGATGGGCAGAGGGTTCTGCCCACGATTCAAGGCCTCCTGTTGATCTGAGAGTTTGTGGTCTTGGGGCTGGGGAAAGAAGGTGAGAAGCTGCGCTGCATCTTCCACAACCTTCTACACCTGTCCACCAGACCCCGGCCTAGCCCCGCTCCCCGCACCTCCTCATGCAGCAGAGCCTCGTTGATGAGGGCCCACAGGTTGGTGAAGCAGGGCGGGTGGCCCAGGCGGGCGCGCTCGGCCAGCTCCTGCCGGTACCGCTGCAGCTGGCTGGGGGCCAGCGCACCCAGCTTGCTCTTTGTCACCTGGGCCTTTAGCAGCGCGGTGGGCCCTGCCAGGTCCTGCTGAGACCACTCTGGGTCCTCATACAAGTTGGCCAAAGCCCTGGAAAAAGGCAAAGCCGGGGAAGGTGAGGGAGGGTTGTCACAAGTCTTGGGACAGTCCCGCAGCCCCCTCGAGGCTCCCGACACGGCATTTTCCAGCCTCTCCATTGCTGAGGCCGATGGCGTCCAAGATGCTCCTCCCCACCCACTTCTCCCCCAAGCCCCGCGGGCCACCTGTGGGCTCCGGCTCAGCCAGCTCACCAGGTGGAGCCCGAGGCCCCCGTGATGTAGGAGACGCAGTCCAACAGGCCCAGCTCCCTCAGGCCGGCCAGCTGCCCGTATAAGGAAGTCATCGCCCGGGTGCCGCCGCCAGTAGCCATAACGGCTACCACTGGGACCTGGAGGAGAGGATGGTCGGCATCGGGGTGGGAAAGGCTGCCTTCCAGGAGGAAGTGGCGCGGCAGCGGAAGGCCATTCTCACTGTTGGGCCCCTGAGGCGCATTGAGCTGGGATCAGGGCTCGGGAGAGCGCCTCGGCCGGCCCCACTGAGGCTGCCAGAAACAGCCCCAGAGCGGGCTTCTCCATTACACAGCAGGCCTCATCTCTTCCCAGCCCGAGCGTTCTGGCATCACTTTCTGGAAGCTCAAGGCCGCCTCTTAAGTCTCCCTTCATGCTGGAAACCACTCCCTAGGGAGAAGACCCCCTAGAGAAGGCAGGAGGCAGCTACAAGCCTAGATCAGCACCGACGTTCCAGTGTTCGGCCCTGAACCTACACAAGCCTGGGGCGGGGGGTGGGGCACGACCCAGTGCTGCTGAGCCCCAGACCTCGTCCTCATGCAAGTCTCCATCCAGCTGCAGGGCATGCTTCAGGGCCTTGGCCACCCTCTGCTTCCTCCTGCGCAGGAAGGCCTGCTCCTGCGGGCACAGCCCACAGCCCAGCCGCACGGCCAGCTCCCCGGGTCTAGGGCAAAGAGTCCACAAAGCAAGTCGGCACCACAGGAAGGGAAGCTGGGGGTCTCCCCGGCCAAGCCTCCGCCTGTTCCTCAAAGTCGCCGCCGTGTGTGGTGTGTGGACCGCAGCGGAGGGAGCGCTTGCAGGCCGGGCCGAGCACTGAAGAGGCACCGAGCTTCCCGGCGTGAGGCCTGCCACCTTTTCTCCCAAGAATGCCAGGGGACAGGAAGGCGGCTGCCAGGCCCGGGAGGGCGGACACGGCTCTTCTGCTGAGGGCCCTCAGAGCCCCCTCCCCTTGGCTTCCTGCCTTCTCTGTGGCAAACTCTGGCTCTGGGCAGCTCCTCACCTGCTTCTCCAGCCCTGGGCTGTCCCCCACCCCGCCCGCAGAGCCACAGGGAAGCCAGAACCCAGCCTGACCCCGGAGCTTCCTCCCGGCCCCACACTCCACCCACGCAGGGCCAGGTGCCGCAATCACGGCATTCCCAGCATGGGTGCTGCCCACTGCCCGTGTCCTGACGCCTGCCCCCCACCAGACACCCCACCTGCAGCCCCCCGCCAGCCACTCACCCCTCTTCCTTCTTCAGCTCCACCCTCATCAAGGGTTCCTGGAATCCACAAGCACCTGCATCAAAAGCTGCCCACCACCTGACAGCAGCTTCCACTCAGCCCTGGCCGCCTTCACAGAGGCCCCCCCCACGCCGGGCCTGCACCCCCATTCCTCACAGGAAGGCCCGGGGCTTCTGTCCGGCTTCCCAGCCCGTGGGGAGCGGTACCTGGGATGTGGGGAAGACGAGCCGCACCGACTGGCAGGAGGGCAGGGCCTGCAGGGGCACCGTCAGCCGCTGCTGGGGGTCGTCCTGCGGGGACAAAGCGAGGACACCCAGGAGCCGTCACCTTCTCTTAGCCAGGACTCCACCGCTCCCTCCCTCGAGCCACCAAGGAAGCCAACCTCACCCCACACTCAGCCCAAGGCTGCCAGGGGGCGTAGCGGGGCGCGGGGCACTGGGGAAACCGGGCCGGGCCGGGCCGGGGCGCTGAGGACGGTGAGGGCGGCGGCTGGGGAGGGAGGCACTACCTTCAGGTGGATGCTCAGCTCCGGCTCCCAGCAGGCCGGGCAGTGGAAGCAGAACGAGCCGGTGCCCACACAGGCCTCCTGGGAGCCCTCACAGGCGCCGGGAAGCACGAGCTGGACCCTGCCCTCTGACTCTGCCAGTGGGGAGCAGAGTCAGGGACGGGGTCTCCGTCCACTGAGCCCCCGTGACCTGGAAGTGCGACTCGGCCTCGGCAGAGCAGCCCAGGCCCCGGCACCCCTGAAGCCACGCCAGCTGCAGGTGCAGGCCATGACTAGAGTGAGGACGTGAGGGTCGGGGACTGACCTTTTGGGGACCCCATCTGCTCCAGCTGAACATGCAAGCGCGACAGCTCCCGGGCCTGAGAAGTCAAGCGAGCCCTTTAGGCACCAGCCCGTCCCTCTGCAGCCCCTTCCCCGCCCCCTGCCTCCCGCTCCTCAGCCCTCGGCCCGGGCACGCGCTGCAGATCCACACCCTCACAAGGTGCCACGAGGCGGCCCCTGCCCAGCTCATCCTCACCCAGGGGGTGGCAGCCCCGGCTTCAGGCCCGGGGAGCAGAGCAAGTGCATGGCACAGAGGAAGCCCCCCGGGGGCCACGGGCACCCCCAAGGAGCTGCTGTCACTCACCACCAGGATGCCGTTGCTGGTGAGCTGCTCCGCCTCGGCCGGCCTGGAAAGAAGCCCAGTGACCCCTGGCAAGAGCCTCGGTTCTCCCCTGACCCCGGCTCTCCTCCTCCGTGGCAAAGGCGTGAGTGGCTGGCACTGCCCTTCCCAGGGGCTTGCCGCCACCACACGCTGCCCCGGCCCACTCACAGGCTCTGCAGACGAAATTCGACTTCCAGCCGCTCCTGCACCTGGACAGAGAGAGGCCACGGGAGGAAGGGTCGGTAGGGTGCGTGCGCGGGTCTGCACGTAGACTCCCACCCAGAAGCAGCGAGCGCTGCTGGGGCCACGTGGTTGGGAAGGGCACGGCCGCGCTCTGGGCGCTCTAAAGAAGCTGCCCTTCCTCAGAAGCCAAGAAGGAAGGTTGGGGATGCCTGACTTCAAACTAACTCGTGTGTGCCTCACCTCTAAAAAGGAAGAAAGGCGGCCGGCCGGGGGCGGGAGAGCCTGGGTGAGGCGGCTCCCGAGGGGCCAGGCCCCCAGCCGCCGGGCGCCGTGCCCCGCGGCGGGAGAGGGCCTGGTGCTGAGCAGTCTTACCTGAGAACTCAGCGAGAAGCTCTGGCGCCGGGACTCCCCCATTCGCAGGGTCCCCACATCAAACAGCACAGACAGCAGCGGGTCGTCTTGGGTCAACAGGTCCTGGTCGAAGACCTTCAGTTCCATGATATTCTGGAAAGGGCAGCGCGGTCAGCAGGCTAGGGGAGGGAGGGCAGTGGGAAGGTGGGCAGGGCTGGGGGACCGGGGGGCGCGGGGCGAGCAGGGGGGGACGGCGGGGCCACCTTGAGCTCGCAGTGGATGCGGAAGTGGAAGCTCTGATTCCAGACGGGGTTCCGGCTGTTCTTCACGGTGCGTGTCTGCAGCCGGTGGCTGGAGGCCGTGGGCAGCCACAGGGTCACATAGCAGTCGGAGGGGGTGACTGCGGGGAGGGGACAGGCATCAGGGATGGCCAAATGCCCTTCCCCGTCCAGCCACCCCGAGGCCACTTCCCCCTGGCCCTGAGACCCGTGTCCACGGGCTAGGCCCCACGCCCACCCTCCACGCTGACCCTCCTCCAGTCCTCTCGCACTGGCCTGGCCACTCGATCCCTCCCTCCCCGGGCCGGCCCACTCACGCAGGTCCTTGGAAGGCAGCCCGTGGGCCTGCAGGACACGCACGGTGAGCAGGCACGTTCCAGGCACCTTCGCCTGCAAGCGGGAGGACAGGGCAGGTTCGCGGCAGGCAAACGGGCCACCAGGGAAGCCATGGCAGCCCCTCAGGCCTGGGCCTGCACTGAGGTCAGACCCGCCGGGGCGCAGCAGCGTGCTGACAAGGAGACACGCCATCTCCACAGCCCCTGCCCACGGCCCACCCAAGGCCACGGGTCCTTCTCCCTATCACGCAACCTCCCAAGAATGCTATTGTGATGCACAAGGAAACAAAGGCAGAGAGGAGGGGCCAGGCCCGGCCAGGACTGGCACACAGCAGCCTAGCTGCGGCCCCACCCCCACTGGCTCTTCAGGGTGTCCCATTCTCTAAGTCTTTCCTCCCACCCCCCACCCTACACCCCAGCAGGGCACCTGGCGTAGCCCTCGGACCCCGCCCCACCCCAGCCCCTGAGCCAGAACAGCACGAAGCAGTGGCTTTGCTCAGGGGCCTCAGGAAAGCCAGTTTCCAGGCCCCAGGCCGGGGAGCTGGGCCTGGAGCCCATTGCCGGGCCTCTGCCTCTCCCTGCTGCCGCCGCCGCCAGCCAACAGCCTTCTCGAAGCTCACAGTGCCCGGCTCGAATGCACAGCGCCGCATGGGCCCCAGACAGAGCGCCAGGTTCAAAATGGAAGCGTAGAGCCCGGCTGGGGTCTCACCAGAGCCATGAGGCTGAGTCCTCAGGAACAGGGAGGATGGGCAGGGCCACGGGGCCGGGGACTGTCAGCTTTTAACACAGCGCCGCGATGCCCCAGCTGGCATGCTCCTCCTCGGCCCCTCCCACTAGCCGCCTCCACCCACGGGAGCCCACACCCACGCCCTGCCAGACACCTGCCGGGAATGAAGCATCTCAAGCCTGTACTGGGGCCAGGCACCCTGCAAAGGGCAGCCCCAGTGCGCTCAGGTCCCCGTGGCCTCCCCGCCGCCTGCCCCGCGAGTCCTGTGCGGAGGAGGGGTCTCCAGCACCTGCTGCAGGGGCTGAGCCCAGGGAAGGCTGAGGAGGGCCTGGCGCAGTCCCCAACGGGAGCCCAGCGCCGTGCTGTGGGCTGGGCCTTTCACAACCTCTGGGTGCCTGTATGACAGGAATACCCGGTCCTGACTGGAGCCCTGAGCAATCGGGGATGAGCACCCCAGGCCCCATCGTAACCCGGCCAGGGAGTGGCCCCGCCACATAAAACAGTCCTTCAAAGCCACCTCTGCGCTGCGCCACCCTTGGAGCTGGGGGGCCGGGGGTGGGGCCTGGGGCCGGGCACTCAGGGCCGGGGGCTCTTCCTGCTCTTCCGGAGGGTGGGGAAGGAGCCTGTGCGTGAGGACCAGGGCCTTCTTCAGTGGCAGGCTGGGAGGGGCGGGGCTTCTGTCACTCCCCACCTAGGTTATCTCCAGAGCACCAGACCCCATCCGCTGCCCTGGGGCTGGGGGAGAAAATAAACCAAGCTGGGCCAAAGCTATAGACGCCATCAGCGGCCCTGAGCCACTGAGGTCCAGCCGGGCACTTCCAAAACTGAGGTCAGCCTGCTGGCCCCAGGGTTTGGACAGATGAGTCCTCAGGCCTGGAAGCGGCTCACACCCCCAGTTAGAGTCACCCTGAAATTTTTGCCTGAACCTTCAAGCCCTCACCAGGCTGAGGAGAGCAACTGCGGCAGGGAGCATCGGGACAAATAAACGTGGCTAGCTTTATTGACGGGCTCCTCTGTGCCGGCTGTGCCCCTCCCCACAGTGCCCTGCGAGGCCTCTGATGGGGGACACGGAGGCAGACAGGCAGTGACTCAGCCGGGTCACCGCACGGTGAGGTGCTGCTCTGCTTCCCACTCCTGACCCGGGTGGCACCTTCCCAGACACCTCACCCGTATCTGCCTGCCATTTCCTGGCGTTCCTGACCACATCTCAAGACTTTCCAAGGAGCTGGGCCCTAGTGGCTCACGCCAGTAATCCTAGCTACTCAGGAGGCTGAGATCTGAGGATTGTGGCTCAAAGCCAGCCCAGGCAGGAAAGTCTGTGAAACTCTTATCTCCAATGAAGCACTAGAAAATGGAAAGTGGCGCTATGGCTCAAGTGGTAGGGCGCTAGCCTTGAGCTGAAGAGCTGAGGGACAGCGCCCAGGCCCAGAGTTCAAACCCCACGACTGACCAAAAGAAAAAAAAAGACTCCAAGGCTGATTTCAATCCAGGCCGGACGCGGCATCAGCCAGCACACACTCCAAGCCCGGGCCGGACGCGGCATCAGCCAGCACACGCTCCAAGCCCGGGCTGTCTCTAAAGTGGACCGGCCCTGGGGGGCTGGAGCACCCGGCCAGCGGTCCTGGCAGTGCTCACCAGGCTCCATCAGTTGATCCAGCAGCCACGGTGAGAGCCCCGCGGCTGGAAGGAACTATGCTCCAGGTCTTATTCCACGTCGTACCAGAAATTCACTGCGAGGAGAAGAGGGACGTGGATGTGACACGATGGTCCCTCTTCTAACCCAAGACCAACCAGCCCACATCAGGGGCACAGCCTGCCCCTGGCGGCCGGCCGCCCCTCACCCGCAGTGCAGCCTGGGACTGCCGGGCATGGTGGAACCGCGGATCCGGCAGGTGCGGTGCAGGGCCCGCGCCTGACTGTAACCGGGGTACCGGGTCAGGTCTGCAGCCGGGGGGTCCAGAGGGATCCAGGGCACCTGGGGGCACAGCCGGTAAGATCACGGGACATCTCAGAGCTGAGCACCGCCTCCCCAGACCGTCTGTGCCTGTTCCTCACCGTCCGGTTCTGCTGCCCTCCCCCATCCCAGGCAGAGGACACACCTTCTCCACGGCTTCTTCATCCACTATCTTAAAGGCGCCTTCTTCCGTGAGCTGGTAAGGGGCCTGTGTGTGCAGCTGTGAAGCGGGAGGGGGGAGGTGTGGGGGGGGCTCAGGGCTTTGCCAGCCCATGCCAGCCAGTCCACATGTCCCATGGGTGCGTCCTGACGCTGCCCCCACTATGCCTCAGGCCAGCCAAAGCCCCACCGCCCGCCCTCTGCCCTCCACCTGCTCCTCCCGTAGGGCCCGTCGCTGGGGGGTGCAACAGGAAGTGCTTCTCCCCGGAGACCACGCAGTACAGCTTCTCATAGTGGTCCCCGTGCACTGCCAACCAGGAGAGCTGGAGTGCAGGCCTGAGCGCCATGCGCAGCCCCCCCCCGCCCCGCCTGCCAACACGGCGCGTGGGCACAGGAAGCGCGCAGGAGGGGTCAGCAGGCCGGAGGGGGACACTGGTGGGCTTCACTGGGACAGGATGCCAGCCAGGCCTCAGCCCTCCACCATGAGAGGTGAAGCTGCAGAGCTGCCCCAGCCCCGTCCCGCGCAGCTGCCCGTGAGTGCGCTTCTCAAGACTGGAACATGCGCATGCGCGCGCGCGCACACACACGCACACGCACACCACCCCCCCCCCAACACCAGGGGAAACCCCTCAGCTACTAGGAGAGGACACCCCCTGGTGGCCAGGGCTGGAATGCCAGGCCATCTGAGCGGAGCCAGCCCTGCCCAGGTTCAAGTCTCACTCCCCCCTTCCCCCGCCCCCAGCTCGCCACACCCACACCATGTCAGCACAGCGGCGACCCCAGCCAGAAGTTCACAGCGTGGGGCGCCAGACCCGCACCACCTGCACAGAGAGAGGCTGGAAAAGCCCTGAATGCGAGGACTCGGGGAGGACTCGGGGAGGACGGCAAGGACTTGGGGGAGGGCAAAGAGGACTTGGGGAGGACGGAGAGGACGCGAGGGTGCAGGGCCCGGCCCTCCAGCCCGTCCGGCATGCGGCCCAGGGCCAGCGGTGCCTGCGCACGGGAGCCGCCCGGGTCACAGCCACGCTCACCTCCGTGGAGCCCACGGCCGCCCGGCTCAACACTGCTCCAGCCCAGGGGGGCACCCCTCCCTCAAGTAGGGGAGGGGTCACCTGTGGAGCACTGGCCAGGTGGGGTGCAGCCAGTCCGGGTAGAAGCCCAGGGGCGTGGGGGCTCAGCCAGGCGGGGGCCTGGCACGGGGCACGCTGAGCTCTGCGGAAGGCAGAAGCACCGAGCTGAGGGAGGAGCCCGGTGTCTGCCCGGCGCCCCTGTAACTAACCAAAAGGCCACACCGGCAGCGTTCCCCAGGCAAGGCGTGCGGTGCACACGAGGAGGGCACGCAGAACGTGAAACACACATGCGCGGACACGGACACACACACACAAGCAGGAGGGGCAGAGTTTATGATGGAGCCAAGGGTGACGACCCTCCATCACCAGATCCTCAGTGGGGCCAGGTCCGTGTCCCACACAGCGCGCCTGCCGCTGCCCCACTCTCAGCAACCATCAGACTCAGAACAAGCTGGCCCAAGGCACCCAGGCCAGGGCCTGGGCTGGGCTGGGCAAGGCTCTGAGAGGCCCCTCCCAAACTGAAAACCCACTGAGCACCTGGATGGACCCAGCGCCTGACCTAGCCAGTGGGGACATCAGAAGACGGTCTAATCATCTCAAGAAGCCCACAGAGCCGGGCGCCGGTGGCTGCTCAGGAGGCTGAGATCTGAGGATCGCAGTTCAAAGCCAGCCCAGGCAGGAAAGTCCACGAGACTCTTATTTCCAATTAACTGGGATGCAGATGTGCTGTGGACGTGGCTGGAGTGGTGGAGCTCTAATCTTCCTATGGCCTGGCTGGAAGACAAACTACCAGATGACTACACTGGAGGAGAGGCCAGGGCTCAACTATTTGAGGCTCCCAAACAGCACCACCATCTACCTGAGATGGTACCCAGGACCACTGTGGACAACTGGGCAGAAAGCCTACTGTGGTTCCCATGTCCCCTGCGCATGTGCGTGTATGTATGGCCCGGAGGCTGACCTCAGGGCTCTGCACTTGCTAGGTAAGCACTCTACCACTTGAGATATATCTCCATCCTTTTCTTGCTGGTCCTAGGGCTTGAACTCAGGGCCTGGGCATTACTCCTGAGCTTCTTTTGCTCAAGTCTAGCACCCTACCACTTGAGCCACAGTGCCACTTCTGGTTTTTGAGTAGTTAATTGGAGATAAGAAGCTCATGGGGACTTTTCTGCCTCACAATCCTCAGATCTCAGCCTCCTAAGTAGCTAGGATTACAGGCGCGAGTCGCCAGTGGCTGGCTTTCAAATAGGGTCTTGCTTTTTGCCTGGGCCAATATGAACCATGATCAGCTTATTTATACTTCCTGTGTGGCTGACAGGACCTTTCTACTGGTTGGGATGGGGTCTTCCAAACTTTTCGTAGGGTTTGGCCTTGAACTATTGGCCTCCTGAATAGCTAGGATTATAGGGTTGAGCCACTGCGCCTGGCTGAGAGCTCTTCTTTTTGACTTAGCCCTCCCCTTCACTCCTGTCATTCTATTGGCTACCTCTTTTTCCTGTTGATTTCACAACCCTCCTCTCCTTTCCTTTCCTGCTTTGGCTCCTCATATTGATGAAGCTTCCTTCCCTGACCACCCTTGTTTAACCTCTAGGCTGCCTACCACCAGCCCATATGCCCCTCCCCTACAGATTGCATTATCTAAATCACTTATCAGGGCATGTCTGTTTTCCTGTCACCGTGGATCACAGAGGACTCTAGGAAGGAAGCACCACCAACCCTTGGGACCACCACATTTAAGCTTTCACAACCGAACTCTCCACTTACACAGAGCAGCCTTCACAGATTCTGAGCCCAGATGTGTAAGTCACAGGGAAAGATCACAAAGTTCAGCAACAAACAACTTGTCACCTCAAAAAACAACACAGAGCCAGGTGCTGGTAGCTCACACCTGTAATCCTAGAGATCTGAGGAACGAGGTTCAAAGCCAGCCCGGGCAGGGACATCTGTGAGACTCTTATCTCCAATTAACCACCAGAAAACCGGAAGTGGCGCTGTGGCTCAAGCGGTAGAGCACTTGCCTTGAGTTGAAGAGCTGAGGGACAGCGCTC